TTAATTATAAACCTGTTGACCTTTTTGGTAGATCTATTTATGGGCACAACTATGACTTCATATGAAATTAATTAGCTGATACAACTATAAGAAGAATATTCATCACCTTTTACATGGGAATAATTAAAAACGTTATTGCAATCCACATTCAAGTCTTATGGCTTCAATGAGAGCAGGAGACACGGGAGGAGGATCATCAACAAAGCTTTTCGAAGATGTTAGATTTATGGAGTTTTTGACATTGCTATTTGGGTAGAAGCTTTTCATTTCTTCTTCTGCACCCCAACCTCTGTAAAGTATGACTTTACTTGGCTCCTGCGACACCAGAAGCGCTCCTGTTTCTTCCTGCATAATCAATTCAATACCAACTTTTTTTTTTTTTATTCCAAGCCAAAAAGGATCACCAATAACTAATTACTGGGTACTTTTTTTTTTTTTGTTATATTGTGGATATACCTTTAGCTTTGCGATGACTTCTTGCACAGATGTTCCCTCGGCTCTCCCTTTAACGTTTACTATTGCTAGAGGGTTTTTCTGAAAATGCATCTTCAGTGTTCTCGCTAAACCAGTAACAACATTGCTTCTTCCTATAAATTGAAAGGGACAATAATAGTCATTCTCAATAACCATATGGTTCCATGTCTACCTACGACTTATATCCATTGATGATACAAGGCATTGAGGTGTTTACTTAATGAGCTTTATGGGAAAAGAAAAAGAAAGTATACGTATAGGAAATGAGATATGAATCAGGTGGTTTCTTAGCATAGAAGATAGAAAAACTCACCTACTGCAAAGGGTGGGCGCTTCTTCATCTTAAGGGCTTGTTTTCTCAGAATGAGCCTTTCTCTATTGGAGAGATCTGCGACCAACCCATCATTTTTGCTTTTCCTCTCTGTCAGAGCTGAGACTCGTGACCCACTTCCAGTTGATGACCCCAGTTCTTGTTTAGGTACCTTTCTCTCAGTATGCAGGAAGCTTTTTTGCGGCTAAGGTCAGCAAAAATAAAAAGGTAATTAATTAGATCTATCTACACATAGGGACGAAGAAGAAAGAGGAGATTTAGACATTACCATGGATCTATCATGAAAAGAAGAGGCCTTGGCAGAACCGGTTTCCACAAGCACAGATATATTTGCAGTTGAGTCGAGAGCGTTTCCCTCGTGTCTCTGAGACAAACCAGGTTCATCTTCTTGATGCTCATGACTGCTCGTAGTAAATGAGTCTACTTCACCTTCGTTGTCATCCTTCAAATATATTTACCAATACAGTCTCAGAATTCAGGCTCATATCTTAGTTATCTAGAGAATTTATTAATATTTAAGTGGTGTACTTGGAGCTAGATTTTTGCTAGATGCCTAGTTATCAGGCATATAAATATATATGCACATAAGCCAATTGCAAGAAACTTCGAGTAGGCGCTAAGAATCTTACCTCCCAGTTTTCTTCTCCAGAGGAAGAAACTGATAATTCAGAAGAATAGCCGAGTTCAATTTCTTCACTTGAATTCTCAGGTTCAATAAGCTGATTTTCTGTTTCTTCGACCTACATATAAAATATGGAGAATTGAGATGATCAAAGAAGCATAGGTGTAGCATCAAGAACTGGTATGAGTTTACTGAAACTGTAAATAATTTACCATTCTCATACTTGATTCCCCATCTGACCGTGTTTCATTGGTCACACTGTCCTCGACCTACCCTCAACCACCATTCAAATGTTATGACCATCTTTAAGGATTGTTTAAGCAAATCGAGCTGAGCAAAACGTATGACTTACCAACTGACGGTTCAATTCATCAATGTTGTTCGAAAGTTTCAACACATGCAGCTTCAATGACTGCAATAGTTCGAGCAGAAAAATATATAAAAGTTCACGTGAGGAATTCACAATATCAATTTGAAGTTTCCAGATAAGACGTCTTTTAGAGCTTACAGAAAAATTTCGTCATGTCAAGGATTTGTTATAATTTTTTCTTACCTTTCTACGTTGTGCCTCCACAGATCGCTTCAGCGCCTCTCTCTTACTGAGAAGTGTTTGAGGTCGTAGACATGATGGCCGCTCATAATTCTTTCCACGATACACAATAATTGCATAGCCTTTACTCACCATCTCCACAGCAACTAGTATGCCACCACTTTCTGCTTCCAAGATTTCTGCTACTTCGTGAGCAGCTTCAATGCTATGTTCATTACAAATAATCTTCACAAGTTCCCTATACTTCCAATGAAGATGCATGTTCTCTATTGTTCCATCAAAGACGCCTCGTCGACCTTGAGAACACAACAAGAGACGTCAGAACGAGACAGTTTACACCTAACACGTCAAGAAATGAGTCCATGAAAGTTACTCATTTAGCACAGATATTTACATGAAAGACGGGAACAGACTGCTGTCAAGTGGAAAAAGAGGGAAAACAATGAAATACCTAGTAAAAGGAAAGGCTTCATTTTTAAGCCAATTTTCCGTAGCATGTACTTTTCGTCATCAGTGATGCCCTCCTTGTCGATATTAGACTGTTGAGGACTCTCTCTACTCTCCAGCTCCGCCAGAATTTTTTCTGCATTTGCTTTCTTTTCTAATGCCTAAAGAGCAAACTGACCATTAACAACTAAAAAGGTCCCGCAAACCCGATGGTTTCTTTTATAAAACTTCTATTGAGGCATACCATGGACAACTTGATACTAGTTTTTTCCAGGATTGCCTCAGGAGATTTCCTCTGCCTTGATTTCATATGATGTGTTTGTACATGATCCTTCTTATATTCAGCTTCTTCTAGTTCGGTGTCGTCTGTAGCAGCCTGAGGCTTTATCACATCTTCATTTTTAGTCATCTTATTACCATGCGCACTTGAGTTCTCCATGATCATCGTTTGCCTTCTCCTCTCTTCTATTGCAGAAGAAACTGCAAATGGGAGGAAATCCTTTCCTCTGTACAAGACAATGAAATCTTTATCCCGAGATATCAAAGTCCCTCCAGTCAACCACTGCGACAGACAATATATTTTTGTCTCATCAATAGATATATTCAGTTATATGGGGCACCATAGATATATTCAGTTATATGGGGCACCAAAGGGCATAATTTCCTATTGTTTGCAAACAGAGCCACAAACAGTTTGATACTTAGATCATGTAAAGTAAACCAGCAACCTTTAACTCTTCAGCCATCAGCTCGCTATTTGTGTTCTGCACTCCTCTCTTCACTGCTATCTTGGCAAGTTCACATTTCTCCCAAAGCTTGACAATTGCAACAGCTAGTCCCTGCAAATTTCTATTTCTACCTGGAAGTCTCAGAAATAGGTAAGCCAGAATAAGTTTCAAATCTTTTGTGCCTAAAGTAAGCTAAAATCAGGTGAAAACAAGCTCACCTAAAGCAAAATGGCAAGGGAGGGGTCTACCAAGTCTCCTTATAGTGGTCATTTCATCATCAGTTAGTTTTGGACTCACGCCATATGGAAGAAGGCGAAATGGTCTCCTGTAGTCAGGTACTACGGCTGGCAGAAGATCACCATCTACTGGAAGGGGATCATATGCCCACCAATCAGTGAATCTAGGACCTAATCCTTCTAGCAATTGGTCTGCTTCTTCTACTAGCTGTACTTCCCCGGGTAATTGAAACCGAACCTTATCCGGGGAACCAACTCCTTGAATTAACAGGGGTTTAACCGTTTTACTAGTAACACTCAGGGAAGAAGATTCTGCAGTACTCTGTTTATCTCTACTATCAACCACTTCCTGATCCATAGATGATCCTCCTGAAGCAGTTTCCACAGAAGAATCATGTCCCAAATCCCGATCAGACACAAAATAAGGGTACTGGTAATTTACACCTCTATACAACAAAATCTTGCTTCCAGACCTCCAAATGACCAAGCCCCCAGTTTTCGTCTGTGAAATCAACCAGGATAAATATGAACTGTGTCAAGCTACAGAAATCTTACCACCCTAACGCAATATTGATATGAATGAGCCATTTTTGAAGACATATACACAGATCTTCATAGAATTTGGACTCAGAAATCAATCTGAAAATTTTGACTGTAAATTTTAATATGCCGAATTTGAAACACATAAGAAATCAAAACTAGACACGTCTCATGCAAACGTTAACGAACCTCCAAGACGTCATGAGTCCGTTTCATGTTCATTCTGGAAATATCTTCGCAGACAATCTTCACAACCTCCGTTGTCCTCCATCTCTCATGAATCCCATTCACGATCCCTTCCGTAATCCCGGCCTTGCCGATCTTCAGCTTCTTCGTCAACCTAATCCCCGCCGACCTCAACCGCCTCAGCTCCGCCGCCGGCAATGTCAGTTCCGCCAACGAGGGAACCTTCTCCTGCTTCTTCCTTTCAATCTCCGTTTCCTTCTTCCACACTCTCTTCAACTCATGGTACCTGGAAATGGCAGTACCCGACCCGGGATTCGGAACCGGGTAACTAGGCGTGCTCCAGCTTGTGTCAATCGTGTGCCCGACCCGGTTAATCGGAAGCTGCTTAGGCAACGGAACGAATATCTCTCCTGGTGAATTTTTACCATATTCTACTCCCGTGGTATTCCTAGCCGGCGACTCATGATTCTCTTCAACAAATCCAAGGCTACGAAGCTTCTCAGCGATTCTCTGGATGGCGGATTGAGGAAGCGTCTTCCGATCAGAGGAAGAGCTACGGACGACGAAAGAGTTCGCTCGACGGACATTGCATCGCGAAATTAGGGTTTGGGGAATTGGGAATGGCGGGAAAGTTCGATCGGGGAAGGTTTTGGGGAGTGTTATCAACGGTTGCTGCTGCTGGTGATACAGAGGCACCAACATTTTTCCACAGACGAAGCTTAATGCAAGCAGAGCTCACTATATCCTTAAGAGGCACGTGATTTGACACGTGATGGTTGTATTTACAGACCCAATGGGCCCATACTGAGTTATTGGATCACCAGCCTATATCCCGATTTTGGGTTATTCGGGTCGGGTCATTCCGGTCTACCAGGCCAGAGAGGTCGAGCTTTCTGTTAAGCATCAATGGCGGAAAATTCCAAATTTCCTCGAAGAAAGTATAACCTGGTTCCCAGAGATCTTGGAAGATTCTGAGAATTAAATTCATGGGTATATTGAGTTACGCCGTCGCCGGCGGTGGATTTGCAGTCATCGGCGCGTGGGAGTCACTCGACTCATCGAACCTGGATCCGAATCCATCTCCTGGTACTGATCCATCTTCTTCCCCAATGGCTCAGATCAGTCCTTCGCCGCCCAAATCTGTTGGATCATCTTCCATGCCCGTAGCTATGCTTTCGTCTCTGTTTATTGCGAACTCGATATTCTCCTTCTTCAGCTCAATCGGATCCCGCGATCGGGTCGGGTCGATGATCCAGTTACAGATCCTGGCGGTGGCAGTGCTATTCCTAGTGTACGCCATTCTTACATATCTGGTCAACTCCAAAAACGCTGTCTTTGTCGCTCTACCGTCTTCGCTTACGACGTTAGTGCTTCTCTTCGGCTTCATCGAGGAGTTCTTGATGTTCTACCTGCAGAAGAAAGATGTCTCTGGAATAGAGAATCGTTATTACGATCTCATGCTCGTACCCATCGCCATCTGCGTCTTCTCCACGGTTTTTGAGCTGAAATCTGACGCAAACACGCATCGATTCGCGAGATTAGGTCGTGGGATCGGTCTGATTCTGCAAGGAACTTGGTTTCTGCAAATGGGGATATCGTTTTTCACCGGTTTGATTACTAATAACTGTTCATTTCATGAGAAGAGCAGAGGCAATTTTACGATCAGATGCAAAGGACACGGTGATTATCACAGAGCCAAAGCTATAGCAACTCTTCAGTTTAACTGTCACTTAGCTTTGATGGTGGTTTTGGCTACCGGATTGTTCTCTGTCGTTGCAAACAAGAAAGGTTATCTCCGTGAAGATCACTCCAAATATCGGCCTCTCGGAGCTGAGTTGGAGAATTTAAGTACGTTCACTCTCGATTCTGATGAAGAAGACGTGATTGGAGAAGAGAGCCACGTAACTAAAGATGCTGGTCTCAATGGAATCAGCTCACACGATTGAAGGTACAAATCAAAGTTTCAGTCTGGTTTAGTTTCTGTTCAATTTAGAAATGTTGTTGGTCAATGGGAGGATTAAAGATGATATGTAATCAAACACACGAGAAGATAATAATAATGTTGACTCTTTTGCATTTGATAATAGTAAGAACTTGTTTCTTTTTGTTTGTATAAAATCTTGTAGAGAACAGTTTTCTTCCTCTTCTTTATGGTTTGCTAGTTAGTTCTAAAGCTACTACACTACAGTTAGATCAATCCTGGAATCTTGTGGAATAGACAGTGTCAAAGTCATTCTTCTTTCATTTATGGGCTTCTTCTTTTTCATCGCCTTGATCACTGCTACTCTTGAAAAACTTGCATAGAACTATGTAGACCACAAAGCTTATTGTACTTGTTAGCGCAAGAAGCCAGTAGTAATTGTCAAGCCGAGCTTCCGACATATCATCTGCAAACCAGTTTTGACAGTCGCCTGTTGAGCTCGAGTAAACCTCGACGATTGAGATCAGCGCTGCACTCACAAAGCTTCCAACACCAAAAACACTTGTGTAGAGAGCAAATCCCATTGTTCTCATTCTAACAGGAACCTCGCTGTAAAAAAACTCCTGCATCCCAACGACTGTGAAAATATCCGAGATTCCCAAGAGGATATACTGAGGGAGCAGCCAGAAGATGCTCAGTGGGACGGTTTCTGGATCATAATCAGGTAAATTCTTCATCTTTTGGCTTATGTCTAGTCTTTTCCTTTCGACTATTGCCGCAATAACAATGGCGATGATGGATAGAAACATTCCGACTCCCATCCTTTCCATCACAGAGATACCTTTACCGTTTTTCTTGATTCTCTTGGTGATAGGTATCAAAATCTTATCGTATAATGGCATAAGAAGGATGATGGATAATGTGATCGTGCTTTGCAGGGTTGCTGGTGGGATTCTGAAGTTGGACCCAATGTTTCGCTTCATAGTCATACCTTGTTTGGTGAAAAAAGTTGCTGGCTGCTGGAAGATAACCGCAAACATGAGAAGCATCGTCCATATGGGCAAAAGGCGAATCACTAACTTAACATTATCAAGTCTAGAGAAAACCCTCTCATCATTTTCCAGTCCTTTGGTGGTTTTTGAAGCAGCCTTAATGTCATCGGTCTCAGTGCTATCATCGCATTTACAGAGAGGTCTCTCTTGTAGCCTACATAAACAAGAATCGGTCATCAGACGTCGCTGAAAGACTTAAAAAGACTAATTAATTACATCTTTTTTTGGGACTTACTCAAGCTCCATAGCATCCAAATCTTTGTCATCTGCAAGTGTGTATATGCTTCTCTTCTTCACTACTCTCCCTTGAATGAATTTAAGGATCTTCTCAAAAGGTGTAGTAGTTGTTTTCATCTTCAGACCGGCACCGGAGGAATAAACATAGATTCCACAACCCGACAAGAACAACAAGATCAGCAGGAACATTGCGATTCCGGGAATAGCAAAACCGAGAACCCAACCAAAAGTGTCTTGAATATAAGCCATAAATGTGACACCCATAAGGCTTCCGGTGCATACGCCAAAATACCACCATTGGAAAAAATGAGTCTTTCGGGTAGCTTTAGCATCCTTTTGATCACCAAAGGAAAGCTCTGAATCCTTATCGAGGTCGTGGTCGAGCTGGTCTGCACCAAAGGCTTGAAGAGAAGGGTTTAAGACGCCTAACCCGATTGAGACAAGACATAGTGAAGAGTAAAGAAAACACGTGGAGATCGTCTTAGTGGCTGAACGTGACCCAGCAAATGCCGTCCATGTCAATCCCACTAGCCCCTTCAAAAGAAAAACAGTAAACAATATAAATATGATTTTTTATTAAAACTACAAAAAATATATATATGTATAAGAAAAGAAAAAAATTCGAATTTCCACTAAGCTATCTTTTTTGCCAATAAGATCCGATAAGACCTATTTATGTGCGCTATATATCAACATTATAATAAAAATTCCATTACCAAACCAACTTTAAAAGGGAGACATGTATAAACAGAAAACCATTGGTGGTAAAAGAAAATTCTAATCCGACGATGACCCAGTATCTAATTTCTTAAAACTCAGTAAGATAGACATAGAGTCTACTTGATCGATTCCTTAATTAGGACAATGACCCAACACCCAATTTATAACTTCCTTTTAGATCCTCTGAACCATTTTTTCTTGCACAAGTTAATACCCATAATCAGGCTATCTCTTCATGACAGCTTAATCAACGCATAGGCATCTATATAGCTAGACAAATTAATGTATTAACCCAATTACCATAATCAGATAAATAAAACTTTGACCTAATAAGTAATAACCTAATAAGCTCTACCTCACCGCCTGACCGTTTTTTTCTGACGGTGGATGAGAGTTGAAGTTAGCACGCACTTAATAATTAAAATATGCAATTGTTGCTTACCACAAAGTAGACAGAAGAAGAAGCGAGGATAGTGAAAAATCTGTCCCAGTAAGCATCAGCCAAAGAAGCAGAGAAGAGAGGCAGCATAGAAGTGAAACCAGCCCAAGTGTTAACTGTTTTAGCTGCTCTTGAATTACTCATCTTCACTACATCTGTTAGGTATGTCACTAAGTTTGATGCAACTCCTTTGAATGCATATCTCTCCATTCCCGCAATCACTATTTACAAAAACAGTTCATCAGAAGAAAAAAAGAAGAAAGTTCGATAAGTTTCAGCGAAGTTGGATTCTTTGAAATAAGCAAACAAAAGAAAGGAAGGAAAAAAAACCATTTTACCTATGAGAAGGGCACATGACTTGCTAAGTCCTCTTGTCTTCTGCTCTATATCCATTAGAGACTCTGACTGTCTTTATGTGTTTATTTGTCTGTGTGTGTGTAGAAAGAGAGAGAGAAGAATTATATTTGGTTATGTGTGTACATGTAAGAGAGTGGAGATTATTAAGGTTGATTGTTGGTTGATGAGACTGATCTCTTCGTATTTATAAAAGGTTTGAAATCATCTGAGTAAGAAAAAAGAAAAAGGTTTTAAATCATTATTAGCCTTTGTGTATTTGAGAGAAACTTCCATTAATGGCAGAGATTAATTTCCATATTTGGAATTCCTATATACATGTGTGTGTGTTTGTATATGTGGATGGGTGGATCTGTATTTACATATGTTAAAATACTTATTCCTTCTTTTTTTTTGTCATCTTCCCATATATACTCTCTTTAGGTTTTTTTTTTTTTTTTTTTTTCTTTTTTTTTTAACTTTTGGCCAACACCCTTTTAGATTAAAAAGAGAGCTGATCGTATTTTGACAAAAGTAAAAACATAAATGTCGAAATATTGCAACTGCATGCAGTACAAAATAATCGCTACGATGGACCATTGAATCCATTCATGTACATAATGTATATGGAAAAAAAAAAAAAAGGAAAACACATTAACTCTTTCTTTCTTTTTCTTTTTTTTTGGCGTATTGATTTCTTTTTTAATACATCAGTTTGAATATAATTATTTGTATTTCCTCAACGTACGTTTTTCCAAATGTACATTTGTCTATAATTTATAGTTTTCCTTTCACGTTTTGTACTTAATTGGTAAAAACAAAAATTGGCTCACAAAAGTTTTGATGTGAATTGATCTCGTGATTGGTATTTAAGATGAATTTTAATTTGTTTTATTTTTGGGTTGGTTAGAATTCCACATCAAATATTGCAAAAAAGTCTAAAGTAATGTATAAATGGTAGATTAATCCATTTATTGGCAATTAATATTAAATTGAAAGCATATGAACAGAACATTAATAAGATTACAAAAATTGATCCTTACCAAAATATATTAAGATTACAAAAATTGATAATACATGAAAGAAAAGGTAGTGGAAATTAATTTTGAATTTCTATTCTAAATAAGCTTATTTCTAGTTGCAATTATCTTCCAAACAAAAAAAAACCAAACAGACATAAAAATTTAAATTTATAGGTACATGAATCCCAAAAGAAGTTACATACAATACAAGTAAGTAAGTATGTCGTCATCGAAGTGTCATGTGGCACGTTTCTCGAATAGCGAATACATAAACAAAACACGTGTGTTGCCAAGCGTCGTATATAACAACGGATCGATGCATATATATACTTTGTTGTGGCTATTTAGCTAAGAAACTATATATATCATTAATTAAAGAGATTTGTGTTCCGTAGTTTGAAATTGTTTGTAGTAGAACGTTAAGTATTCAATTAATTTGCCTGACGATTTCTTAGCTAAGAATAAGATACCTTAATTCTTAAATTTTTAAAAAGTGTTCCTTAAAATTTAAAATTAAAAGTATGCTAGATTGCTAGTACTATATACATACTTTAACAACTTTTTTTGGCTTCATTGACCGACTTTGTGGGATAATGTCTTTGCCTTTTAAAATTACACGAAATCTAAAATTTCCACACAAAAAAAAAAAGAAAAATGAAAAAAGAAATTGAAAAGATGAAATGAGCTTTAAATAATTTCTGTCAAGCATACGTAGACTTGATGACATAATATATACAAACCTATACATGTAACGTCGATAATGCAATAACAGATAGGGATAGGGTGGCTTTTAAGAGATAATTAAACTAGATGAGATCAAGTGGTTTAGAGAAAAAAAGAATTACTTAGCTAGATTTGCTCTCCAGTAATGAGGCGTATGCAAACGTATCCACCCCCAATTGTTTTATAGTGTGGCCTTTAAACCCATGGTACTCCTCCTCCATAGATATCCAAGAAGATGGCGACGAACATGGACTCGATTAGAAGAAGGCTATATTTGATATTTGTTAGATTATATCTGTTTGCAGTCACACGAAGAGAGAAATTCAGAGAAACAATAAATCATTGAAAAATAGACTAGAGAGAGTGGTTATCTAAAAGACTTATATATTCCCGGTATACATATGGTCTCTCGTGGAACCATCTGGTTTCCGGAATATGTTTGGCGTTACAAATACCTAAAAGATGAAATTCCAATCAAACACTACCAACGGATTATAAAATACCTTATAGTAGATCATGCTACATGGTAATTAATTAATGTTCGTCATGGATTATAAAATTTGAAGAAATAGCAATCACAAGTCGCGATAATGGTTTGGGGGAAAAAAGAAAGGCAAATAAAAAAGGAAGGATGATGATATCAACTTTAGGGTTTTTTGTTTTTTTGGCTTTAGGAGAAAGTGGTGTAAGCAGTAAGCTAGTTGTACGTGAGTGCCTCAACGTCGACTTGCACCAAATTCCTTTTTTTTTTTTTTGCAGAAAAAAAGGAAATAACAGCAGCTTCCGTGTTATCAAACTCCTCCTCTCTGAATCTGATGTATAATTTGCCACATGGCTCATCACCTTTTCCACGTGGATAAATTTATATTCAGCTAGCTAATAAAAAATAAAAATAAAAATTCATTCTTTTAAGTTTCTTAGAATAGTTGATAAGTTGAATGTAATTTATTTGTGCGCGGTCCAACTCCAACAATCCTGCCCACAAATAGAAACGTGAAGATATGATCCATGCATGGTCCAATCATATCATTTTTTTTTTTATATATATATAAACTATAATAAGAATGATTGACTTTATAAAATTATATATACAGTACAACGTATAACTGTTGAATTTTATAAAATCATGTCGCTTATTTCTGGTCTGGTTTTAATTATGTAGATCGAACACTTCTTCATATATTTATAACTTGAATGAAATGTTAAATAAAATATGAAACCTAAAGGAATGTTTTTTTTGCAGTGTTAACAACCTCAGAGTAACACGTGCTTGCGTTTGCTTAACACGTGATTTGCAAAAGCTACTGAACATACACTCGCGTGTAACGTAAATATGAATGAGTTAATACGAGAATATTCGAACGTTGATGAGAAAATATTATCACTAGCTGCTTTGCAGACAACAATACAACATGCATGATTACCAACTACCAATAATGAAGTTATGATGTAGATGTTGACAAATATACATTTGATCTTTTTAGTTTTTTATTGAAAATATTTAGACATTTTTTTACATACAAATATTTTAGACATTTTGTCCATAAAAATACATATTATTTCTTAGTAACTTAGTATAGTAGATCTTGTCAAAACAAAAAAAAATCGTTTGATTAGCTTTCTATAATATAATATACCGCCCATTTTATTTACAAGTAACCCTTATTTTTCTATTTCTTATCCTTTTTTGGGTCAACAAATACGTTAAACTATATATACTAACAATACAAAATTAACGAAATGCACTATATATGTAGTGTACTGTGTACCCCACGCTATGGTGGTGTAGTGAGATGGAAATCATTCTGGTCTACAAAGGAGAATGGGAACATATAACACTGTTATCTTTTAGCAAAAAAAAGAAAAACATATAACACTGTACGTGTGTGTCTCTACCTGATTTTTGTTATTTTATTTTCATTTATGCAACTTTATTTGCTAATCGAAGTTGCCAATGGCGACAGAGTAATACGTACAAATATTCTAAACTACAGAAGTACATCAATCCATGAATCTTTTTTCTTCTTTTCATATGCATCAACGCAATAAGATAGCGACACCTCTGCACGGTTCTTTTCGTTAAGTTTTGCACCAATTAATGTATATATTTATCAGAGTTGTTATTTGTAAACTGTAATCTCATGCAACCAACTCTTGATCGATCTTCAAAAAAGAAAACAAAAAAAAGACTCTTGGTCGATTTATTCCGTTTTCTGAACATTTTGTTATTAATTTATATTGTATATTGAAAATTGTAAGGTATATAATAGATATACACATAGTTTGTTAAGAAATATATTTCGAAACTGAAATCCAGAAAAGTTCTCGTGCATATATAATATATAATTATATCTATAAGCCAATTTCTCGTGCACAATCCTTATCTATGCGTGGTACGTAAACTCGCACTTAACGTACGAAGACATGTTTGTTTTACACGATCTGATTAATTAAGGTGACTACACACACCTACATAAATACTTACAAAGTTTGTTCCTTTTTTAATGTTAGTGTGACAAAACACTACAAAATCTGTATTGATCTGGTGCCAAAAAGGATCACTATATCATTGACATAAAATATGTTAATGCTTAGTTATTCACTATCATTTTAAGATTAGACTCACTAAGAGTATTACTTAATCTTATGGTGCCTTTCTATACGACATTGTAGGCTCCAAGTAAGTATTTTAAAACGACCAAAATATTACTTTTGAAAAAGTTATACTTTTTGATTTCTATTTTTTACCATATTAATTTGACTCTTATATTAGTATTATATGTTAATGTTTGGTTTTTATCTGACACTTTTAACGCCTTCTGCTACCTTCCTATACAACACCAGCCTACATATAAGTTCTTTAGTATAGCAGCAATAAACAACAGTTTTTAAAACATCAACTTACTTGCTGAAAATGATCAGTGTCGACATAAGCATAGACTTTGGATCTGATGAGCAATATAATTGTGATCTCTATGCTTCCTTGTTTTTTTCTTAATTTTTGCCAAGGAACCATCTTGTTGGATTAACTTCGTGTAACACCGAACTGTTTTCATTCTAAATGATATTTACAATTTAGCAAAAAAAAAAAAAAAAAAAAGCATAGACTTTGTTTCTCTAATATCGCATAAATCAATTCCGATAAATGATAAATGTACGTACAAAAGCATCGAGATTAGGTTTACGAATCGATCGATGGCCGATTATTAAAAATAAACTAAACCATAAGGAAGGCCTAATACCATAATATACGATGGCCCATGAAGCATAATTAGTCTCAGTAATCTCTTCATCGACCAAATTGATTGGCTTGAAGGTCAACTTCGTAAATATTTAAAGTTTGTAGGGGTATTGTTGTCATTCCCGGAATGAGGAGGGTAGAATCGGTAATAAGGAAGGCGCAAGCTCGCCTCTTTCGGTTTCTCTCTCGCTCGCTCTCACGCTCTCCTCTCTCTAGAAGTAGCAGATCTGAGTTTTGGAGAGTTCAATAGGAAGAAGATAACTCCATTACCAGGTTCGTATCTCCTTCTTCTCCGTTATTTTTTTCCTGGATTCGTAGCTCAATTTTGTTCTTCCGATGAATGGAATTTTACATCTGGGGAAAAAGAGCTCAAATATTAGGAGGATCTACGATTTCGAATTCTCCTTTTGATCTTGTCAATATTTTTACTTGGGTTCTTGGGATGGTTTTTAGAACTTATGTACGAGTACGATGTAAGCGTTTGTGATGCACTGAGCTCTGAGTATAGATCGAATCATGCCTTTTGTTCTGTCTCTTCTTTTTTATTTTCATCTCCGTTTGAATCTTTATCTTGTTCACATACATATCATCCGTGTGCTTGGCTGTGATAACTTGATAGTTGTTCTGCTTAGAAATCAAACATACTCGTGGTTGGTGTTTCCTACTGATGGATTTGCATTGCATAGTTTTGTTTCTATCGTATCCTAATTGAAAGTTAGAGGTCATTCTAGATGTTGTACTCTCGTTGGCTCAAACAAAGCTGTATAATTTACCCTTTGTTTTTTTCAAAATTCGGATCGTAGTTTAAGATGTTTTAGTGAACCTTTTCATTTTGTTGGTTGTTTTTGCTGTACGGTACTGATCGATCATTCTACAGTATAACAGTGAAAGCATTCAGGAATCATGCCTCCCCAGAAGATTGAAACTGGTCATAGCGACACTGTCCATGATGTGGTCATGGATTATTATGGAAAGCGAGTGGCAACTGCCTCATCTGACTGCACTATCAAGATAACTGAAGTAAACAACAGCGGTGGACCCCAGCATCTAGCTACCTTAACCGGTCACCGAGGTCCTGTCTGGCAAGTCGCTTGGGCTCATCCAAAGTTTGGTTCGCTCCTTGCTTCATGTTCCTATGATGGGCAAATCATACTATGGAAAGAAGGTAACCAGAACCAATGGACACAAGCTCATGTCTTCACCGACCACAAAGTGTCAGTCAACTCTATTGCTTGGGCCCCTCATGATCTTGGACTCTCCTTAGCTTGTGGAGCATCCGATGGAAACATTTCCGTTTTCTCAGCTAGAGCTGATGGCGGTTGGGACACAACAAAGATCGACCAAGCACACCCGGTTGGAGTCACTTCAGTCTCATGGGCACCAGCCACAGAACCAGGCTCACTCGTTAGCTCAGGTATGCTCGAACCGGTATACAAACTAGCATCTGGTGGGTGTGATAGCACCGTGAAAGTGTGGAAATTCTCCAACGGGTCATGGAAGATGGATTGTTTCCCGGCTCTTCACAAGCACACGGATTGGGTCCGTGACGTGGCTTGGGCACCGAACTTGGGTCTCCCAAAGTCAACCATAGCCAGTGGTTCAGAAGATGGGAAAGTGATCATATGGACGATAGGGAAAGAAGGGGAACAATGGGAAGGTAAGGTATTGAAAGATTTCAAGACAACAGTGTGGCGGGTTTCGTGGTCGTTGACGGGTAACTTGTTGGCTGTTTCATATGGGAACAATAACGTTACGGTGTGGAAAGAGACTGTGGATGGAGAGTGGGAAGAAGTGACTACCGTTGAACCATAGATTGGTGTTTGTTTGGTTTGTCTTTTGCTTTGTGGTAATATCAAAAATGTGGTTTCTGTATACATTCTCTAGGGACCTGTTTCTCTCTATACGTTTTTCAGGAATATGTATTTTTAAAATCAGACTCGCAAGTCTTAACGCTTGCAAAAATTGTATTTTTTTTATATAAATCTTTTTTGGTTGCAAAATCGTTTTTCTAAACTAATCAAATCTGAATCTCCATCAAAAATAATAATATAATAGATGAGTTTGATATACGAAAATTTGCCGCTATGGCGCTCAAAATGCGAAACAAAGATTTCGGCTCTACAGAAAATTTACATAAGAACCCTTTCGCATAAGCGTTTCTAGAGCAAGGAGGGCAAGGGTACTATCGTCATTGTGAATGAGAACAAAGTAAAAGGCGATTGTGTGTGTGTGTGTGTGTGTGTGTGTGTGTGTGTGTGTGTGTGTGTGTGTGTGTGTGAAGTGAAGCGCCTATATTCATAATTCGAAAATCTCATCTCCCCCCACACCCCGCTTTGCCTAAAAAGGTTTTATTGATTGTTTTTTTCCGGAGTCACGCTTAAAGCTCTGAACATAATTATCCCAAATCTCACAATTTTATCTCTCTCTCTTTTTCTCCAGATTTTTTTTCTCGAGATGATGTCCTCAGCGATTGTTACTCACGATGTGGAATCGCTCGCTCTGCAATCTTATAGCCGCAAGGAGAAATCTCTAGGGGTTCTCGTCTCCAAGTACTCCTCTCTCTCTCTCTCTCTCTATCGAATTTATGTGGTTTTTCTCGAGATTCACACCATATAGATTTACTTTTGGTTGGATTCATGTGTAAATTTATACTTCTTTGTGTGTACGATTCAGTTTCCTGAGACTGTATAACCGAGACGACGCAGATCAGATTGGGCTCGATGACGCCGCTGGCCAATTAGGTGATTCTTCCTCCTGAAGTTTTTGTCTGTGAGATTGAAATTTTAAATCATTAGGTGTCAAATCTACGCTTATTCATTAGATTTCCAAGACTAAGAACAACTGGGTTTCATGATTTCGCAGGAGTTGAACGCCGCCGTATATATGATGTCGTCAATATTTTGGAGAGCATTGGGGTTAGATTTTTATTGTGAATTTCTTTTTGTTTTTTTCTATGTTAATTAGCTCACTTTCCTTTTGAGCTGATTCGATTACATACTCAGATTGTGGCAAGAAGAGGGAAGAATATGTATTCCTGGAAAGGTTTTGGTGAGGTTCCTCGCTCTCTAAATGAACTCAAGGTACTTTCTTTTATTATTGGCTCTCAATTTCTGGATCTCTATTTATGTATTTTATCGATGCCCGAGAATGGTTTTTAAACTAGTCTTTGTTCTGTTGTTTTGTTTACAGGAAGAAGGAATGAGAGAGAGGCTTGGTGACTCGAGTACCAACAACTCTGACAAGGTATATTCAGATTTTTCATTGCCCGTTTTTGTTTTTATAAGATTCTTCTAGTGGATTTGGAACTTAACTTTGAACATGTGTTACCTGTGATTTTGTGCGCATTCACAATAATGTAGTGCTCATCTCGGCCCTTTAGTTCTTCTGATCGAACGCAATTGTTATGTAACAGATTTCAAATGATGGTGAAAGAGAAGAAGAATCTTTCAGTTTCACACCTGATGATCAAGAAAACTCATCATCCTCTAAAATTGGTAATCTTCTCTTTTCTAGTGCTTTCTTATGTTGGAGTATTTTCAATATCCATCTTCTTTCTAGCAGACTGATAAAACTACATGTCTTGTACTTACTATTCACTATTGGGGTTTCAGTCCTGAACTTGATTCTGAATATACAACTTTAAGCAAACGATTCTCCGTTACAAAACTGCTACTTGATTAATCAGGATAAGATATTTTAGGAGCTAACTTTAAGAACAAATTGTAGTACCATTTTCAGACCAAAGGAAGGAGAAATCTCTATGGCTTCTCTCGCAGAACTTTGTGAAGATGTTTCTTTGTTCTGATGTAAGTGAATTATTTGACCTGTTATCTCTCATTGCCTTCTTACACAAAATATTCAAATCCCTTTTCTAAACAACTCTCACTCTGTCTGCTCCCTTCTCTTCAGGATGATCTCATCACACTTGATAGTGCTGCAAAAGCCTTGCTGAGCGACTCTCAAGATCCTGTCCATATGAGAAGTAAATCTCTAGTTCCTGTTTTAGATCTTTTCTCATCTCTACTATCACATACACACTGCCGTTAACCAATCCGATTTCTTAAATTGAGTAACAGCTAAAGTTAGACGACTTTATGACATTGCAAATGTGTTTTCCTCGATGAATTTAATCGAGAAGGTAAGAGCTTTGTTCCTAAGCCGATATATTAACCTTGGACTTACAACTTTCCAGTATTTCATCGTTTACTTTTTTTCAATGCTTTCTCTACAGACTCATATTCCAGAGACAAAGAAACCAGCATACAGGTGGTTGGGGTCCGATAGCATAGCTGAGAAAGGAACAAGCTTATTCAATTCCGATGAACCGAAGAAGCGGGTGTTTGGAAGAGAGATCACAAACTTGAGAGCAAAAAGAAGCAAAACAGACTGTTCATCAAACTGCAAGCAAATTGGATATAAGAAACATGATGAGGAAAACACAGAGCAGGAATTGAAACCAGTGGCAAGTAAGTATGTGTTTGGCCCATTCTCCCCAACAGGAGGAGCTAAGAGGAACGACAATGTCGGAAAGGGAAGGTTACTAGAGATCGAGAGCCTTGCTGCTAGTGCTACCTACAGACCACAGTATTGTAATCAAGGTAACAACCACACTCAAATCCTTACAGAAGCATGTCAATAATAAAACTGCATTATTGTTTCCATTTGGATTCTATGAGATTAATTCATGGGTCTATTTTGGGAGTGGCGAAGATATCTGAAAATTTAAAACATAACTGAGTTTTGGTTTTGGTTTTGATAAATGTTGTCTGAAACAGAGATAACTAGTCTATTTGGGCATTACACGGAGGCATGGAAGAAATGGTTTGCAGAGCTTGATCGGAAGTAAATAACATAGTATTACTTACTGAGGTAGATGTTTCGTCTGCGTCTGGGTACATGAGAGAGTGCACATAACTCTATCGAACATAGCCTCTTCTTCTTCTTCTTTTTTTTTTTTTTTTTTTTTTTTTTGTCTTAAATCAAACAGTAGTAAGAAACAAAGGTATTAATTGTTTTTGCCGAGTGACTTTGGTCTTAGTTTAGACTCAGTTCCATCCTCTCTTTAACTTAACTTAACATAAATGTTTAATCCCTCTCATATTTGGCCATCATTACATTATTCAATTGTAAACAGATTTTTTGTTTTGTTTTGTTTTTAAAATTTAAAACCAAATCTATGTCATTCAAAACAATTCACAATCTCTTGTTAATTCAATCAAAGATTTAATAAAAAAATCATATCACATCCACTGTTACAGGAAAGAAGAAATCTTATAATCATAAATATGTAAAACAAATATATGATCACTTTCCAAATCGATAGTATATGTAGAATCAAAACTTATCCAACATTCTAATACAGACAGTGCCAAACTCTTTTCTATTTATTCACCGAGACAAAGATCTCAACTAAACTGTTTCAGTTGTACTTTAGAAACATGGAACTAAAACAAACCAAAGTGATGGTTATCATGTCAGCCCTGATCTTGGCATCGATGATCCGACCATCGGAAGCTGAAGCTAATAGAATGAGAAAGAAGCTCGAGGAAGAAGATGAAATGTTCTGTTATTTCTCATTAAGCCGTTTGTTACAGTGATACATTCTTTATATAGTAGAATGCTCTGGTTTAGTCTAATCACACTGGTTTTCCTAAACCGGCTAATAACCACAGTCTAATATCCTCCCTCAAGATTAGCCGTGAATAGAAAAGAGGCTCATCTTGCCAATAAGAGAAGAGAACAGAGCTGGATACAAAGGCTTGGTGAGAACATCTGCAAGCTGAGAAGTGGTCTTCACGTGCATTGTTTTCAACAGACCTTGTTCAATCCGATCCCTTGTAATATGGCAATCATTCTCAATATGTTTTGTCCTCTCATGAAATACTGAATTGTTGGCGATGTGAATAGCAGCCGTAGAATCACAAAACAGAGGAACAGCCTGTGATTGTGGTACTTCAAACTCAGCTAATAGTTTCACCAGCCAAGAGATCTCACGACTAGCCATAGCCATTGCTCGATATTCAGATTCAGCAGAGGAGTAAGAGGCAACATCTTGTTTCTTTGACTTCCAAGAGATTAATGAGTCACCAAGAAACATGCAGAAACCAGAAGTTGAACGTCGAGTATCAACACAAGAACCCCAATCTGCATCAGTGAAAGCCTTAAGACGCAAATCAGATTTGGCCGGATAGAGTAAGCCTAATCCAATTGTGCCTTTAAGATAATGAACCACCTTATAAGCAGCATTGAGATGTGCTTGCTGGGGAGTCTTGGAAAACTGACATAGCTTGTTTACCGCATATGTGATGTCTGGACGAGTGATGGTTAAGTACATCAGCTTACCAACTAATCTTCGATAAGTTTCTGGTGTATCAATCTCTGAACCATCATCCTTTTGAGTTAACTTCAAGCTTGGTTCCATTGGAATTGTAGATGGTTTGCAAGCTAGCATACCCGTTTCTTCTAAAAATTCCAATGTGTACTTCCGCTGACAAAGAGAAATACCCTCTGCGGATCTAGCAATTTCTAGGCCTAAAAAGTATTGAAGAGGACCTAGATCCCTAAGCTTAAAAGCCTTTGCTAAATCATTCGTCAACTGTGTAATAGCCTCAGTACTATTCCCAGCAATGACGATATCGTCAACATAAACCAACAAGGCAAGAAAAACATTACCAGTCTTCTTGGTGAAGAGGGTGTGATCAGCATGAGATTTCTTGAAACCCAGAGCAAGCAAAGTGGAGCTAAATTTCAAGTACCATTGCCGTGAAGCTTGCTTTAAACCATATAGGGATTTCTGAAGCTTCAATACATCATTTTCAGGTAAAGATCCTCCCTGTCTCATAGAATAGCCTGGAGGTATACTCATATAGATCTCCTCATTTAAATCACCATTCAGAAAGGCATTTGAAATATCTAACTGTTGTAAACTCCAATTCTTAGCAGCTGCAACAGAGAGAAGGGTCTTTACGGTTGTCATTTTGGCTACTGGAGAGAAAGTATCAACATAATCTAACCCTTCCTTTTGAGTGTAACCTTTAGCCACTAAACGGGCTTTATATCTTTCTAAACTCCCATCAGCATTAAGTTTTACTTTGAAAACCCATTTACAGCCAATAGGTTTCTTGCCTTCAGGTAGAGAACAAACCATCCAAGTGTTAGTACTCTCCAATGCATCAATTTCAATTTCCATTGCATCAATCCAGTCTTGTATCTTCTTAGCTTGAGCATAAGTGCATGGTTCTGGATACTTGTTAACTGCACATATGTAGGCTGTGAATTCCTCTGATAACTGAGTATAATTAATATAAGCAGCAAGAGGATACCTCACATCCTTTGTGACATCAGGAACAGCATTAACATAGTAATCCTGAAGATGACTTGGTAGTTTGGTTTTTCTTTTTCGTACTGCAGGATGTGCATTGTCATGAGAATCCAAAGCATCAGAAATTAATTCTGCATTCTGTTGTTCCTCACTATCCTCAGCTTCATTCTGCATTTCATCATGCTTCTGCAATTCTAGAACATCATTAGGAGATTGCTCTACTGACGAAAATGCAGGGTATGATGCAGAAGTATCAAAAATATCTAAGGGAATGGCCTGCGGCTTTGCAAAGGGGAATATATCTTCAAAGAACACCACATGACGTGAGATATGAATAACATTTGTCTCTAAATCCAGAAGTTTATATCCCTTATAACCAGCAGGGTAACCAAGGAACACACAGGCTCTTGCTCTTGATTCAAATTTATGTCGTTGTTGTGTACTTGTTGACTGAT